ATATCCGTCTATTATGTGCATGTAGAAGAGCACTGCTTCATTTTTTTCACACTTTATGTGTCAACTGTATATTGACAAGCCAAACGTTTGTTCTTTCGAATATTTGCAGATTATTACTTTACCACAACTTAACCAAAGCAATAGATAAATACTGAATATTTCATATGATATGTTTTACCTCTTTCCTTTTTGGTTAAAACAGTCACATGATCATATATAGCATACGGACCTAATGCTTCTATTTTTTAGTTGATATGAACTCTCTGTTTCTATTTCCGGTTGATATTGACTATATTTGTATTTCTTATATTTTTACACGTTTATATGTTTTTATATATTTATTTATTTAATTTATTTATTTATTTATTTTTGTTTATATTGACTCAGTGTTTCAAAAACATCTAGATCACAGACAACCAGTCTATCATTCACTAGTTTTGCTCAGACATCTTATGCTTATGATTTAATCTTACATATTATATGTAATATACAAATTAAGGACTTTTATCTCAACCAACACATTGTTTTGTAGACCTGCTGACCCAAAATATCAACCTCGGACTTCGCCCTCGGTCGATAACGCTTCAACATGTCCATATAACAACGTATTGACCTCGTCAAAGATGAGTAATTCATGGCATTAATATTTCAGGTCGAGGTCTAAGGGTTTAGATCATTATACATTTTTTGGATTAAATCAGTTTCGATAAGTTAATATTCTATAACATCAAGTAAAAAAGGTTAAACAAATGGCACTGACTGTAATGCTTAATGCAAAATATAACTGCCATGCAATTGCTGGTTTTAAAATGGATTTTAAAAATATTGTGTAACATTTCACAGTGTTATCATACTTTAACTTTGTTTAAACCTGTTTATTTACTTTTGACCTTAATTATTTATCCCTTATGATTTTTATTAACTACACATGTATGTATTTGCATTCAGGTATCACAGATCAAATTTATTCATTCTTTGTGTGTTAATTTACGTTTTTTGATGAGTTAAGCCTTCCAATTGATATTTTATAATGTGTCTTTCTATGTTGTCATGTTATACTATTGTTTAAGAAAAGGGAGAAGGTTTGGTACCATTAAAACGTTTAATCCCGTTGCAAATGTTTGCACCTGTCCTAAGTCAGGAATCTGATGTACAGTAGTTGTCGTCTGTTTATGTAGTTCATACGTGTTTCTCGTTTCTCGTTTTTATATAGATTAGACCGTTGGTTTTCCCGTTTGAATGGTTTTACACTTGTAATTTTTGGGGCCGTTTATAGCTTGCTGTTCGGTGTGAGCCAATGCTCCGTGTTGAAGGCCGTACCTTGACCTATAATGGTTTACTTTTATAAATTGTTACTTGGATGGAGAGTTGTCTCATTGGCACTCCTACCACATCTTCCTATATCTATTTAAAAGTTTTTTTTCCAATTAGAGCTTATTTTAATCTTCGGACGTCCAGTGCTTGGACCACAGACCTTCTTTTGTATAAAATTTAATCTGCATATCCTACTTATGCTTCATTCAAGATATGACTGCCTTATCATTGTTGGTTCTGAAACGATTTTTAAAGCTGTTGCCCTTTGAAGACTATGTTAAGCTTTGGACACCTAGTGTGCAGACCCAATGGATCCTTGGACCTTCGTTTGTACAAGCTTGAATATTTATGTCCTACTGATGGGTCATGCAAAATACAACTCCCTTGTAGTTACTGGTCCTATAAACCCTATAAAAGAAGATTTTAAAAGCTTTTCAAAGCTTTTTCCCATTTGAGCTATTAATGAATTTTGGACCCAAAGTTCTTTGACCCCCATGGACCCCTGGACCTTCATTTGTACAAACTTTAATTGTCATGTCCTACTGATGCTTGATGCAAATTGTGACTGCCTTGCTACTACTAGTTCTAAAGAAGATTCTTATAGCAGTTTTCGCAATGAAGCCTTTATTAAAACTTTGGACCCCAAGTTCTTTATCCCAATAGAACCCTGGACCACTATTCCTACAAACTTGAATCCCCGTCTACTAAGGATCATCCCTGCTATAAGATTGGTCCAAATTGGCCTGCTGGTTGTAAAGGAGAAGATTGTCAAAGCTTTTCCCCATTCAAGCTTACATTAAACTTTGGGCCTCAAGTTATTGGACCTCATGGACTTATTGACCACCAAAAAAATTCCTGGCAAGTTCGGTTCGAATTGGCCCAGTGGTTTCTTAAGAGAAACTTAAATTGTGAATTGTGCACAGGCGGACGACGGACGCATATTGATGAAAATAACTCACCTGGTCCGAACAGGTGAGCTAAAAAAACTTTTATTATTATCTTCTTGTGACTCTTCTACTTTCAATAATGACTTCAGTCTTCCAAAACTTCCATATTAATACATGTAAATGCATTTTTGCACTAGTTTTTTTAGGGAAGCTCCAGAGCTTGCACCATCATAATATTTATACCATCTATTTATTACACAAATGTTCTTTTCTTCATATTTTCCCCTGGTGCACGTCCTCCGTGTTTATAATATAAAAAATAGACTAAAATAAGGTCATTTTCGGACTGTTTTGCATTTTATTTAAAAATGACTTTGTGACAAACCTCCATACAAATACCCAATATATGAAACTCAGTTTTCTTTTTTTCTAAAGGAGTGCATGATTTCATTTAATTATATTAATATGATATCTCTGTTTCATCGTAATGGATTTATAATTTCGCAAAATACAAAAAAGAGGTTGGGGGAGGGGAAGTGGGGGGGGGGGGGGGGGGGGGGGGTGGCAAAACTGAACTCTTACTTATACTTTCTCCTTTTGTGATGTTGGAAAATTAATTTTAAAAAATGATGATAACTTTCTGTAACTGTAAGTTTCAACTTGTATGTTCTGCGTTGTTGTCATTATTTGTTTGATTTTTGTTTTTGTTTTTGTTTTTTGTTTTTGTTTTGTAATTTTTTTGTCAATTTTAAGGATTTGTTCCGTTTAACTGACATTAATTCATATACTATTCATTATAACCAGATGAGTGGTACACGTTTGGACCCAGTGAACCTCCTTTTGTAATGGTATATCACAAGTGGCAATGTACCCTTCTATTTAATATCAGAAAAAAGAGAGGGTAGATAGTTTCTTTACTGGGGTCAGATGTCCTATCTTAGGGATCCCAAATTGACATATATTCATCCAAGGGGTAACACATTTCTGTTTCTATGGTGTTTTGTTTTATCTGCATGAAGGGTATATTCCTGGTAGAAAAGAGGAAATCAGGAGTGCATGGCATCTGTGGAGGTCAAAATTTACCAAAATATTTTCTTCGGGAGGAAGACTCTGACAAAGTCTCTATCCAACTCTCTCTTTTCAGATATCAAATGAAATGGCCCAATGAAAGGCCCATGAAAACAAAATCAAGAACAATAGATCTATTTATGACCGTATAAACTATGAACCAAATAAAGACGTCTAGTCCAATTTAGAATCCATTCTCTTATCTTGTCGCCTCATTAATTTTCTCCTCGAACGAGTAAGGACGCCAACCAGGTACAGTACGCCTATTAATGTACGGACAATTTCTTTCTGAAAAACAAATCCATTCTGCACACATTTAAGATGCATTATATTCGATAGCCTTGTAGTTGACCAGATAAGCGTAACTGATTCTGGATGAATAATGCAACATCTACAATATTCGAATATTCTTTTCGTAGAAAAAGTCAATAGGAAGAGAGCCTTCCTTTTAAAGTTCTCATTAAAGTAATTAGTCTGTGCTTCAATGCCAGAAATGCAGTATATCCTTATTATTTATTCCCAATATGAAATACGTGAAAATCAGGTCCATCCTTGTTTGATTATAAAAAGAACTGTCAAATGCAAGCAAGCTTATAGACATATACGACTGACAGTTCTGTGAACAGTTTAAAATGTCGTACGCTCAAGCTTCAAAGATATACGCACAAGTTAAGAAAAGTTGTGCGCACAAGTTCAAAAGTTGTGAGCACAATTTCAAAACTTGTGCGCATAAAATTAAAAACTGTGCGCACAAGATTTAAAGTCGCGCACACAAATATTATACATTTCATCTTTGGCACTTAAGGGACTCCACAGCATAAAGAGTGAATTGAAAGAAAAAAAAGGTAAGACATTTTCCGTTTATCAATGTAAAGACGAATGGTTTTGCCTTCGAAAAAATTAGGCATATTAAACGCAATATTAAAAACGAACTAGCTTCATAACAATCTATTTAGTTAAACCATTTTTTAACTGAATTGTAGTTTGTTCTCATGTTATGCTGCTAGACCACTGTCACAGATTAGGAGAGGATTGTTTGCTCACAGACATGTTAAACCCCGTCATTATCCTTTTGTGCATGTCCTAAGTCAGGAACAAGTAACTTCTCTTTCACGCCTTATCAATAAGTTTAAAACTTCCTAAAAATATATTTACCATATAATAGCATAGCGTACCCCATTGTTAGTTTTTTTTAAGAAGAATGATACAAGGTTTTTGCAACTGTTTTATGTTAGATTGTATCATCTGGATCATCTGGGAGCTTTGCTAGCCCATATCCTCTGGTTTGTTTGAGTATTCTGCGTACATTTTTTTAAACATTTATTACACACAACTTGGTTCGTTTATATTTTTATTTCCACTGTTTAATTGAAATGGATATATTTTTCAGAAAAAACTATATACAACAAATGGTTTTAAACAGTATTCATAATGAATAGGAACAGATTTTGTCGACTTGTTACCCAAAACCGTTACTATAGACTGCGATTTAAACGTATTTTCACATATTTAGTTCTTACAGTTGGAATTTTTGTATACCTTTTTATGAAAAGAGTGCCAGCAAATGTTTTAATGCCATGCGAGTTCGAAGCTGTTTTCCCGGACAAGTCAGTTTTGAAGTTACTTCAAGGTCACAAACTGAAATGTCGAATGTGGCAGCCATTCGCATATATCAACCAATCAGGATATCTTCATTTAAATGCCACTGCAATACATGACGCCAAATTTAGCATGAGCAAGTTTAAATGTGATTATATGTCAATTCTTACGGATGGTTTAAATGCAATAAAATTGTCACCAAGGGTAAAATTTATAGAACCAGTTCATGTGTATAACGAATTTATCTATGTCAGTTGTAATATTACTAACGGGACCACAGTGTATTCAAACTTCCATTTCAACTTAAATCCAAAAGTTAACAAAAGAAACATATTAAAAGAGGCAAATGATCAACTAAGTGTTGTTATTATTGGGTTTGATTCGGTATCAAGATTTATAGCAGAAAAACAACTGTCAAAAACTTTAGACTTTTTCGAAAATAATTTAGGGGCCTACCCTATAAAGGGGTATACCCGCATTGGGGATAACACATTACCAAATTTGCTGGCCGTTCTTACAGGGAAAACCCTACCAGAATCTATTCTATCCGCACGAACAATACCTGTTTTATACAAAGAAGTATTAAGAAGAGGCTATATAGACTGTTATGCAGAGGACTGGGCTCCATACTTAGTACCTTTCATTGCTAAGTATCCAAACTACACTCACTATTTCCGTAATATAATTCTGGCGAAAGAAAACACAGACCTACAGGTTTCACAACTTAGTTCCGAGACAATGAAGCATATCAAATTGAGTACTAATCCAATATGCATTGGTAATGAATTTAAACATAATTTAATTTTTAAGTATAGCAAACAATGTATTGAAAAGTATAACGAGAAAAGAAAGTACGTATTTATGTGGAATAATCAGGTATCTCATCACAATCCACATAGTTTATCTTTAGCGGATGAAGACACAAAACAGTTTATAGAGTGGATGAATTCCACTGGGAATCTAAAAAATACCGTGTTGGTAATAATGAGTGATCACGGACCGCGTTACGGTCAATTTGCTGAGACAGACTTTGGAAGAATAACCAGCAATTTTCCGTTATTGTCAATATACATACCGCATCATGTCAAAGAAGAATTTCCTACAATTGCAAAAAATTTAAAAGTCAACGAAAACCGATTGACCACGCCATTTGACTTGCACGAAACATTAAAGGATATTATCTTCAGCAAGTTAGAAAAACGAGAAAAAGAAAACAATTTGTTTAACTCTAGAGGAATCAGTCTGTTTCGTGAAATTCACAAACAAAGAAGTTGCTATGATGCTTCAATAGGGGAAAACTATTGCCCATGCTATGCTAGTCAGCCAATATCACTTGCAGACGATACAGTTCAATTAGTCACTACTTTTGCAGTGGATTGGTTGAATCGGATAATTACAGACCATAATGTACCATGTGTCATTTTGAATTTAATGTCCGTGAAGTCAGCAAGGATTCAATACACCCCATCTTCAAGTCATGACAGGAATGAACATCGTTACATTATAAATTTCTATACTTATCCAGGAAATGGCTTATTTCAAGCTACTTTATTTAAAGATGTTGAGCATATTTCCCTGTTAGGAAATATAGATAGACTGAACGAATACGGTAACCAGTCTAGTTGTATCCCAGAGAAGTTTCCACATACAGACCTCCGTAAATATTGTTATTGTCAGTGATGGAACGAATACTATGTGAACGGAAAGAAAATGTAAGAGAAAAGGTCATTCGGCTGGAGAAAATTCAGTTTGACGGGCGTATTTGTTAAATCTAAAATAGACTCAAAGTGAGCCAGTATAACTAAAGTATTGGCACACAGAGCAAAAGTATAAACATACTGTCGTTAGATGAAACTTTAAAGTGGATGACAACCAGAGTTGATTTTCATATTAATCATAAACAATCTATACATTCTACCCGTGTTCCGGTAAAACAAATATGCGCAACTGTAATATAATCTGGCGCGCAATCGTAAAAAAGTTATCCTCCACTGCGCGCAAATGTACTATGCTAATGGTCCTCGACTTGAATGAACGACGGAGGACAACCACGTTTGATATGGACAATTGTCCCTTGCAACAGTCAAAAAGTAATTAAAAAGATATTGATAACTTAACACTTTCCCTACATGAGGCACCGAATTTAACGTGTTCATTCCCACTTGATGTGGCTGTTTATTTATTTACCCCATACAACAAAACTGAGGTTCTTTGAGATAGCGAGTTGTATCCCTGTAGACTGTGACACTTGGATCTATTTCTAATAGCCATGATACCTTTAGGAGAATACACTTTGAAATCGACATACTATTAACATGACAGATAGGGACTCAATATATTGTAATACATGTTGATCATTCGGTGACCTTGACCTTTGACCTTGAGTATTGTTATTAAATTTTGTAAGATATTTAAAAACATGTTTATTCAAATTAGACAAGTGCTATAGTGTGGTAAGAAGGTCAAATATCAGAGGTAAAGGTCATGTAAAACATAATTCGCAACGACCCTTTATTTGGTATAATAGTACATAGCAACCATACATAATTGGGTTAAGCTTTAAATGAAAGAATTAGTATATAGACTATCAATCAAAAGTCAGGGGTCAATATAGTCATCAGTGTCTTAAGCAGTCATTTTCTTATGATTTAAAAATTGCCTAGCAACAATTTGTTTTGGTTCTAGTGGACAAAATTCTTTCCTTGCAAGCTTTTAGCAGCCATTCTCAAATGGTCAGTAGGTCATGGATTTAAATTTTCTGAAAAGATTGGACAACCGTAAATTAATTTTTATCAAATTTCGTAGTTATTTTCTTCACAATTATTTTAGACGATATAAGAGATACTAAAATAGTTAAAATGTCCAACAAAACAAATTCTTCAAAAAGAAAGAATTAGCCAAGTGATTCTTTAAATGTGTTTTCGGTCTTGCGACATGTGTATAATTTGCCTCCACAAATACTTTAAAAAGTTGTGTCAATATTAAGACGGTAATTTTTTTAATCTAACATTGCTGTTTTTAATTATTATATTTCTGTTAAATATTAACAGATACCATACCTTATATTAGTTTGATTCAGAATTGCTGCAAAGTAGTTTTTGTCAGTGCCAAATTGCACGTCATGAATCAGAAAAGCTATGTACATGTAATCGTTTGTCTTGTGAAACATAGACATAATTATGTTTAAGAACTTTTTCCGGAAAATCGGTGATTATGGGAGCCAGCATCCCTATATAAATTGTTGGTGGTTACAGAGAATTGCTCTTAAATAGTTCGATATTTTCTTTTTCAAAATCGACAGGAAATCTTGAAAGTCAATTGAATGTATCTATAGTCTCTCTTGTATCAGTTTTTTTTATAAAATGATAAGTAAAATTGAGAAAAACGTTACCTGAAAATTGGAAAATGTGTTCATTTGTCTAGCTTGAAAATGAAAAATCTTGAAAGAACTTGGAATTTGCAAAAAACCTAGGAATCCAATTTGATTATTTATAATACATGTAAATAAATTGTAATACCTTTGCATATGTTTTGATTGATTGAACTACAAATTTGATACCCCGCAAAGTGACTCGACTTGAATGAATGACGGAAGGACAACCACGTTGAATATGGACAATTACCCTTGCAACAAGCCACACTCAAATAGTTGTTAAAAAGGTATTGATAACTTAACACTTTCCCTACTTGAGGCACCGGTTTAACGTGTTCATTCCTCATTTCCATCAGACGTGGCTGTTTACTTATATACCCTACACAGCAAAACAGAGGATCTTTGAGATAGGGATTTGTATCTCTCTAGACTAAGACACTTTGATCTATTTCTAAAAGCCGTGACGTAATCCCTCGGGAGAATACGCTCTAAAATCCACTTCCTACAACCGTGACAGATAGGGACTAAATATATATCGAAATAGATATTGATCATTCAATAGCCTTAAATTTTACTCAAAAGTCAAAGGTTATCATAATCAGCTTGTCCTTTAACCTTGAGTATTTTTTTTCCGATTTTGTAAGAAATTTTAATAAAAAGATGTATACATTAAATTAGAAAAACAATGATTGGTATAATTTTGGTAACAAGGTCAATGTCAAGGTCATATACAAAATTATTAAAAAACGCCCTATTTCGGTATAAAAGTAAATAGCAACCATACATATTTGGGTTAAGGACTAAATGAACTATTGGACAATATTTTGTTTCCTATTGTTAATTTCCTTTTTTTACGGTGATGTTCCTTGGCACTATCTTACGGTTTTTTATATTACAACTCGTTCGCTATACCCGTGCATGTTGTGATGTTTTGGATTTCAATGAACGTACTCTATGTATTAGGGATTTCGTTTCCTTAAACTTACTTAAAACCTGTACTAAATTCTTCCATATGTACAAAGATTTGATTTGAAAGTTTGGCTTTACCTGTAGCAAACTTTTTTTAAACGAAAAACACATTCTTTTTTTACGGAGATGCTGCTTACTGAGCCCGGAAATTTAGATACAATCCTGGTGAAGGTTACCAATCCAACACTGTAATTAGATCTTTGAATATTGTTTTAATCTCTATAACTATTGATTTTTTTCCCAGTAAGTTAAAATCAAGGTAAATATCATTTATATATATTTTCAATTAAGACTTGTATATATATATATACATTAATAATAAGATCCATTTTGTTACATCTGGTGATCCGTTTATTTGGCATTCGCCAATGGCAGTCAGCAGGGTTTAAGAACATCAGTTGTTTGACCTGCTAGTCAAATGCGTTTTGTTAAAATATACTTTTTCACTTTTTTGGTCTTTTGGAAAATGTTGTTTGTGCTGTATTTAGACCCCTCTACCAAGAAATTTGTTTTGCATGCACACGTATAAAAATTTCAGTTTTTATCCAACGCAATCATAGGTTTGAACGTTGTTTTCAATTTAGACTTGTATATATATATGTACGATTCGCTCGTGTATGTAACAATGTTTTAAATTTTAACGAGAGAAATTTATGTATTACTGAAAAATTATTACACCAGGGTTTTCGATATCACAAACTAGTCAAAACATTTACTAAATTTTATCATCGGTATAAGGACATCATTCGTAAATATAGCTCAACATGCAGACTTCTTATACGTTCAGGTATTTCACATCCAATTTTTTATGGAAATATTCTTTAAAAAGCACAAAAATGTCAGTATTCACCTCTGAAGCTAACAAAACCTTTAAATAGACTTATTAAGAAGGGATATAGTTACGATACTGTTGTCAGGTCATTAATGATTGCATATTTTGGCGTTAATATTGATTCACTTATAGGGTCTTTGCATCGGCACTAAACACATTTATTTAAAAACCAGTTGTTGGCATGACACGGGTTATGTTCTTCTCATATATGTTATGATGGTATGATACTAAACCCCTAACGGGAAGGATTGTGCCTGATATTCATATGATGAAGACATAATCTTTCAATCAGTTTAATTGAAGTCTGGAGCTGGCATGTCAGTTAACTGCTAGTAGTCTGTTGTTATTTATGTATTATTGTCATTTTGTTTATTTTCTTTGGTTACATCTTCTGACATCAGACTCGGACTTCTCTTGAACTGAATTTTAATGTGCGTATTGTTATGCGTTTACTTTTCTACATTGGCTAGAGGTATAGGGGGAGGGTTGAGATCTCATAAACATGTTTAACCCCGCCGCATTTTTGCGCCTGTCCCAAGTCAGGAGCCTCTAGCCTTTGTTAGTCTTGTATTATTTTTAATTTTAGTTTCTTGTGTACAATTTGGAGTTTAGTATGGCGTTCATTATCACTAGTATATATATTTGTTTAGGGGCCAGCTGAAGGACGCCTCCGGGTGCGGGAATTTCTCGCTGCATTGAAGACCTGTTGGTGACCTTCTGCTGTTGTCTGTTCTATGGTCGGGTTGTTGTCTCTTTGACACATTCCCCATTTCCATTCTCAATTTTATATATATATATATATATATATATATAAGTGCCTAAGAATGTAACTTTAACACACTATTGAGTGTTATAAAATTAGTTGTTATATTTTATATCATTCACGCAATATTTCGCTAAACAAATTAGCTTCATCGGGCGTGTGCATCTCTCAAGGTGAAATCAGATGCATGACAAAAAAATATTTTTGTAGCTTGAACTACACAAAATTTGAGTAAAAGTTTAACAAAATTTATGGATGTTCTATAAAAATATATGTTTGTAAATTGTCTAGAAAAATACTTTTGCCGCTTATTGTTAGCTTGAACTACAAAAAATTTGAGTAAAAGTTTAACAAAATTTATTGATGTTCTATAAAAAATATATGTTTGTAAATTGTCTAGAAAAATATTTTTGCCGCTTATTATACAAAGCAATTCTTAAATCAAAACAAATAGTTGTTTTAGTTAAATAGAATGAAGTTCAGGATTTATTCCTTTGGTGTTGGGTAGAACTGTTTTTCATCTCTCTCATTAAGTCCATCAGGTTCAAGAGTACGTAGCTGATGCATCCAGAACCTTTCTCTCTGTTTTCTTCTTTGGGAGTCCCAATTTTGGTTTACCTCAATTATTTGAAAGGTGATATTTTCAAAAGTATGCCTTGTTCTTAAGAGGTGTCTCGTAATTGGACAGTTTCTTCCTTTTGTATAAAAAGACCGGTGATTGTTAAGTCTGATGTTGAATTTCGTTTCTGTTTCACCAACATACTGCAGCTTGCAAGTTCCACAAGTAAGAATATAAATACTATTTTCCGTTTTGCAATTAGATGTAACATAGATGTTGTATCGCTGCTTTGTTACTATTTCTTAGATCATTGTAATCAGTTCCATCATTCAATTAAATTTACATCTGAATTTTCAAGCGAGAAAATTGCTTTTCTCGACACCACCACATTTGTAAAAAACGGGGTCATTACAACTGATCTGATTATTTATAAATAATTACATTTATAGTTCCTTTTATTGTTATTGGTGTTGTTGTGTACACTTTTAAGGCGTTTATATAATTTATTTATTGTGTACATGTATCGTTACTCGTAACGATCCAGCGCCCTCGTGGGAAAAATCGTTGACTATTATTCAGACGTTTGACATCCTATTTTGACTCCTCAAAATTCAAGAGTCTATCCTAAATTGAGGTAAATTGTATGGCTTTCCAAATACCGTTTCGATTCCTAACATCACTGAAGAGACATTAATTGTCGAAATCCGGATATGGTGTACAAAAACCTTTGCACCTTTTGTTTGCGGTATAACATCTTTTCCGCAAGTTTATTGTTTTCTGTTTAGTATTAAATTTATATTTAAGATCCATTTATTACATCGGTGATCCGTTTATTTGGCAATCGCCAATGGCAGTCAGCAGGGTTTAAGAACATTTGTTGTTCGACCTGCTAGTCAAATGCGTTTTGTTAAAATATACTTTTTCACTCTTTTGGTCTTTTGGAAAATGTTGTTTGTGCTGTATTTAGACCCCTCTAACAAGAAATTTGTTTTGCATGCACACGTATAAAAATTGCGGTTTTTATCCAACGCAATCATAGGTTTGAACGTTGTTTTCAATTTAGACTTGTATATATATATATATATATATATATATATATATATATATATGCACATTTATAGCTCTACAATCTGTCGATACCTGTATATTGGCAGTGCAGAAGTCATGTTTTATCTGACTGTTGATGACGTCTTTACACTAAATCTATTGGATGTTGGATGTGTACTGATTGATATTTTAGTCTTAGATGGATGATTTTTTTATTAATTGTTATATATTGGCTTTGAAGAAGCTGTCAGTATCTGTGAGTACTCTCAGTCCTGTACTCTGGGTTTTTGTTGTTGTGTGGATGTATAAATACTCTGCCAAGTCCAGTATACGGTTTTGTTAGATGTTTCTCTATTTTGTATCGATCTGATCATTTAAACCCCTTTCAACCGATTTTTATAGTGTGTTCTTATGTTGTACTGTTACACCACTATTCCAGGTTGGATAGTTTAACCCCGTCATATATGTGCGTGTTCAAAGTCAGGTGCTTGTAATTAAGTGGTTGTCGTATTTTTGCTGTTTCTCATGTTTGTTATTAGTTTATTGTTTTGTAAAGTTTGTTCCTGATTTGTGCCGTTACACTTTTCTTCAATGTAAGAGGTAGGGTTGGCGCCTTCACACTAGTTAACCTCGCCACATTCAGTATGTGCCTGTCCCAAGTCAGGAGCCTGTAATTTAATGGTTGTCGTTTTGTTCATTGTTTTGTACATAATCAATTAGTTAGTAGCCATTAGTTTTCTCGTTTGAATTGTTTTACATTTGTCATATTGAAAACAGACCTTCTTATTTGACTCACAATCTCTAACTATAGACCAGAGCAACGATATTTTTGTAGAAGCAAACAATTCTTACGAAAGTTCATTTACATCTTTTCATTTTATAATGAATTGTTCTATTCCTTTTCGTAGTATCTTATTTATTATCCTCCCTTTTTCCGCGTTTTGTTTTGTTTTGTTTTATTTAATCATTAATTTATTCCTGCTCCATATCAATATAAAAATGCATGGTATGTTAATATAATCGTATATAATATCCTTGGTAGTAAAAATATGTAAATTGTATGTGTTATACAATGAATAGTGGTCGTACTGTATCAGCCATCCGCGATGATATCGATATATGTCTTAGTTGCCAAGGCTTTACCACACCCTTTTAAAAAGAACATGTGATCGGATTGCCAATGAGACTCCACAAAAGACCAAATGACACATAAATTAACAACAATAGGTCACCGTATGGCCTTCGACAATGCGCAAAGCCCATACCGCATAGTTAGCTATAAAAGCCCCGTATTAACCTGTATGACGTCACGTCATCGACATCAGTCACCGTTCCAAAGGC